AACCCCTTAGGCTGTATTATCCAGTATGCCCTCAGGGACAATCAGGTGACAGCCAGCAGGGTGGCGGAAAGTGGAAGAAGAGAATACAAGGTCTGGAGACAAAATAGACCAGGCTTTGGAAACGCTCTGACACTCTCTCGGCTTTTCTGAGCCTCAGTATCCTTAGCAAAAGAAAGTGGGGGAAGAGACTCAACGCCTTCCTCAAATAACTCAGTGAGGTGCAAATGTAACAGCTGCCACTTGTTGAGACTTACTCTGCACAGGGCGCTGATATAAAGCGCTTTAAGTGCATTCACTCATCTGCTTATAACAGTAACATTTACAAGGAGATAGTAACTACCTCCACTACACACAGAAGGGCCCCGAGACACACAGGATCTAAGTCACTTTTTGCCCAAATCCATCACCCAGTAAATGGCAGAAGCAAGATTCAAATGCAGGTGTTCTCACTGCAGAGCCCTCTCTAGAACGCCTTTGGGGAGCACGGGATCTAGCCCGGGCAAACTGAGGCACTCAACAAAGGAATGGAAACACGCAAGAAAGGCACCTGGGGGCTCGTCAGGTTAAGTGTGGGGCTCTTGATTCCAACTCAGTTCATGATCTCTCGGTTTGTGAGTTCCAGCCCCATGAGGAACTCCGTGCTGACAGTGTGGAACTCGCTTGGGATTCAGTGTCTCCCTCTCTCTGCCCCTTCCCTGCTCATGTTCTCTCTCTCCTCTATCAAAAAAAAAAAAAAAAAAAAATTAAATAAGAAAGAAAGAAAATAGAGCAGGCAGGATAAAAAGCTTTATCCTATCCCTTCACTGGGATCCCAAGTCTCCCAAAGTTAGATGGTAAGGTCTTTATGTGACTATTGCCCTTGGGGCACCTGGGGGGCTTAGTCGGCTCAGCGTCCGAATTCCACTCAGATCATGATCTCACAGTTTGTGAGTTCGAGGCCCGCACTGGGCTGTCTGATGTCCTCAGAGCCCACTTCAAATCCTCTGTCTCCTTCTCTGGCCTTACCCCAGCTGCACTCCTCTCTCAAGCATAAATTTCTTTTAAAAAATTATTTTTTAATTAAAAAAGACTGTTGCCCATGTCCTGGTCCCCTCTGTGGCAGAAGCTAGACTAAATCATGCTCCACACCCTTCTGAGCCAAGCAGGACACGCGGGAGCACAGCCTGGCTGGCTCAGGGGCATCCCCACCACTCACAAGCCAAAGGCCAAGGCCCACGACGTGTACTTCAACTCGCACACCCCAGAGCCAACTCTCTGCCTTGCTAGAGGTCTCTCTTCTCCTTCTTCCCTTCAAAGTCCTGATCCTGATGACTCTGCAGTCCCACAGCCCACAGGCCCCCTGGCCCACAGCTGGGGCAGGCCACGGTGGCCCTCCTTGCTGTCACCTTGGAGTTCCCGGTGTCGAAACGAAGATTCCCCTTCCTCCACCCCATGTGACCTTCCCACACAAAGCACATCCCACCCAACATTCTGTCTGGCCGGCTGGAGGCTAAGCCGTGGTCACCACAGAGCCCCAGAGAGCAGACGAGGCCACCAGGTGATTCTCACAGGTGCGTGAGGAAGATGGACATTACACCCTGGGCTACAGGGGCCCCTTAAAACCAAGACAAAGAAAACACATACTTACGGGGGGTGCCGGAGGATCGCTGTAAAAGACACAGAATCCCAAAGGGAAAATTTCAGACTGGGAGCTCCTCGCTGTGCTGAAGAAGCTTCGGCAACCTATTCGTCCTGGAAATGACCCAGCTCCACACGCCCGACCCTGTTTTTGCCAAATTTCCTAGCTCCGCGGGCGAAAGTAGGCATTGGCTCTTTCCTCTGATGAACAAAATGGCTACAGCTGCCCCTGGGCCCAGGGCAGAGGGGCTGATGGGAGCAGACCCAAGGAGCTTGGGGAGGGGGGCGTAGGGTGGAGAGGGGGTGTAGCTCCTCTGTCGGCAGGGTTCCCGGGACCTGGGAAGACAGGAGCGGTCCTCTCCAAGACCTGCAAGTCCCCGGGGAGTGCTGGGTTGGGTCATGTATTCAGAGAAGGACACTGCGCTTGTAGACTCGTCCGTCACACCTGGGCCAGAGCCCCTTCCCCGGGCTGCGCGCACGGCGGCCAGAGCGCTCTGTTAATGGAATAATCGAGTAGAGTCATGGCCATTATGAACAGCCCCCGGGCACTCAGGGGCTAGGTCAGTCTGCGCACATAACTCAGCACGCCAATAAATCCTCCAGGGAAAAAACCCGTCAACTTGATTTTCTCTTTTTGGTAATTCTGGGTTTTGTTGTTGTGTGTGTTTTTGTAATATATTTTTTTAATATGTGTACATTTTTGAGAAACAGACTACAAGTGGAGGAGGGGCAGAGAGAGGGAGGGAGACACAGAATCTGAAGCAGGCTGCAGGCTCTGAGCTGTCAGCACAGAGCCCGACACGGGGCTCGAACCCACGAACCGTGAGATCATGACCTGAGCCAAAGCCAGATGCTCAACCACTGAGCCACCCAGGTGCTCCTCTTTGTTTTTTAGTGTCAGACTTGATTTACATGAAGTCCTCTGAAAACTTAGGAAGAGGGAGCATTTTGTGAGGAGAATTCAGATCTTGCTCTACAGGGTCACTTTCTAGGACACATTTGTAAGAAGAGGCTCATTTCTTTGGATTATCGTTTAAACCATCCTCTCACCCCATCTCCCCCGTTTTGCCAGCAGTGCTAAATACATTTATATGAGGAACAAAACCTTCCTCAAATATTTCTCTGTAAGAGCTACTTTAAGTAAATACATTCTGCAAATATGACCGCTGAAACCAGATTGAACACCAGCGAGAAGGGCGCCCTGATGAAATGCTCACACGGTCTTCTAGAACACCAGGAGAACCGGCCGGGATGATGTGGGGCTGGAGGCTCCTGTGTCTTCGGGGGGACTGGCCCAGAGCCAGGGGGCCTGGAGATGGGGACCCCGTCTTTCCTTCACCTTATATCCTGGCCTGTTCTTCTACCATACCCTAAATCTCTCTTAGTTTTTACAGGATTTGGTGAGAATCAGATTTCCTTTTCTCATTATCACCGCAGGAATTGGTTTGTGTTAGGTAAATTAGGAAAACAGCATTGATAATTAAAGGAGAAAAGAGCCTACAAAAAACATGAAACAAAGCTCATTCATTCTCTTCTCCGGCTTTCAGCCAAGAAAAGGCCTATGTGTTACATAAAGCATTTCGTTGACCTTTGGGAAACAGCCAACGTGCTGAAAATGACGCCCGCTTCTGTGTCCTGGGGGTGTCCGAGACTTAGAGCTGTCAGTTTGTTATTTTGACATCTCAGGAGTCATCAGAAAGGAAAAACAGTGTGTCACACAGAGGCTGTAGCCCAGTCCTCAGAAAAGGACCACTTACAAAGCGTGTGAATAGCTGGAGGAAATCAGTTCCAGAGAATTGGTAGCTCAAGACGGTATCATTCGGTTTTTCTGAAATGGTTTGAGAAAGACTCCTTGATTCCATTCAAGGATAAGATCTTGGGGGTGCGTTGGTGGTTCAGTGGGTTAAGCGTCCACCTTCGGCTCAGGTCGTGATCTCACAGTTCGTGAGTTCGAGCCCCATGTTGGGCCTCTGTACTGACAGCTCAGAGCCCGGAGCCTGTTTCAGATTCTGTGTCTCTCTCTCTGCCCCTCCCCCACTCACGCTCTGTCTCTATCTCTCAAAGATAAACATTAAAAAAATTTTGTTAAATATTCAATGCCCATTCTTAAAGTTGTTTTGTTTTCAAATCAATCTTTTTTCTCAGCTAACTGTATTGCTTAAATTATTCTTATTTTACCCTTTTATTTCTCAAGGAATTATTTCCATTTTAAGGAATCATATTGTGGCCAGGATTGCACTTGAGGTGTTTTGCTGTTGGAGCTTATAATAATGTGAATAATTCTGTGACGGATTGGGACTTCTTTGGGAAGATGTGTGTCATCAAATATGATACAAATTCCCTCCTGTCTTGTGTCAGTTTATCATTCCCATTTTGACTTCGCAACTGCAGATTTGTCAAAGCCTGGACCGTAGTTTACAAGCAGGCTTGATGGGCTCTTGGTTTGCAGAGGCCTCTGGGAAAATCCGCTTGGTGGAGCCTGGGCCCTCCAGGCAAAAGCCACCCTACAAAGAAGTATTTTCCCTAAGGGCATCTGGCTGACCCAAAGTTAGCTGAAACTACAGACCCTGCATTATAAATAAGATTTTAAAAATGAGGGTGTACACATAGGCTTAACATAGAAGAGGGCGGTTGGTTTTACACGCGTAACTGGAGAAAATAGCAGCTTCCTCTAGCTCAAGTAAAATGTACATCAAGAAGGGAAGGAGGGGAGGAGGCAGATATGGAAGGAGGGGGAAGGAAGGAAAAATGTTAAGAACTTTTCAAGAGGGGCACCTGGGTGGTTCATTTGGGTAAGCATTCAACTCCAGATTTTGGCTCAGGTCATGATCTCACAGTTCGTGACTGCGAGCCCCATGTCGGGCTCTGCACTGATGGTACGGAGCCTGCTGGGGATTCTCAATGGGAGGGGATTCTCTCCCCGCCCCCCCCAAAATAAACTAAAAAAAAAACTTTCCAAGAACACGTCGGCTGCCACAAATGAGGAGCACCTGCAAGGGCATCGGGTGCTGTTCGAATCCTCCAGGCACACCCTCCAAATAAAAAGCACCTGCCACCCCACCTCGGCTATTTTCAAGTCCAAGCTCAAAACAACCACATACAGGGGTTCCTGGGCGGCTCACTCAGTTAAGTGTCTGACTTCGGCTCAGGTCATGATCTCACGGTTTGTGGGTTCAAGCCTCACGTCAGGCTCTGTGCTGACAGCTCAGAGCCTTGAGCCTGTTTTAGATTCTGTATCTCCCTCTCTCTCTGACCCTCCCCTGCTCACGCTGTCTCTCTCTCTCTCTCTCTCTCATAAATAAATAAAAAACATTATTTAAAAAGAAGATTCAAAACAAGCACATACACAGGCATATCACAAACTTTCCAGCTGGACAAGGAAATAGGAGCCCCACACAAGGAACACTTTAATCAACGACTCTTACCGAAGTACAGAAGACTGAGCACAGGGTTTGATGTAAAGGGGGTGAGACACTGGTGATTCCATACACATAACAAACACTGTCGTGCATTTCTTTCAAACGGCGTGTCAGTGGACTCGATGAGTGAGTTCGTGATGCTCCTCCAGCTTCCCCTGTGAAATTGGAAACGTCACACACCGCATGTGGCCCTGAGAGAAAGGGAGATGATTAGCACCAAGGAGAAGAAGGCGATTTCACTCGATCCTAATCTAGGCATGTAGCTCTTCCTGAGACCACTTGGTGTCCGAGCCCCCTCGCCATCCCTGCAGGGGGAGGCGACGTGAGGTAACCTGACAGAGCAGCTGCGTGACCTTGGGCGGGTTACCTGACTTCTCTGCGTCCCATCAGGATGATGAAAAGCCGAGGTTCTGCCTCTCAGTGTTCCGGTAAGGAGTGAGCACTGTCCTTGGCACATAGCCAATGTGCAGAAACTGAGCTGAACTGTTAAACGTGCCCCAATCAATTCTACTCTATGGCGCAGGAACATGTATTTGAGCACAGAGAGAGTCAGCACAGGACTGGGGGTGTTCCAACCCCCACCCCCCCCAAGCCGCTTGCAGGATTCCCAATCCTGAATGTTCATCAGGATCTCCCAAAGAACATTTATAACAATACCTATTCCAGGCACCACCCAGAGATTCCAATTCGATTGGCCCAGGGTGGGGCCAAGGCATCAGATTTTTTTCAGAGCCCCCCAGGTGATTCTGACGCTGAGGACCGCTGACCCAGTGATGTGGGTGCACAGTCACTGCCTGTGTGGTCCGTCAGACCGACAAGACCAGAGGTGTGTCATTATCCATTGCACCAGTCCCCTTAAGCCACCAGATAACACGTCCCTCCGAAGCTGGTGACTGAACCAGGGAGAGGGGGCCCCCCAAGGTTGGAGATGAAGGGGCCCCTGTGACAGGGAGTAAACTGACTCCTGCCCACCCAGTGTAGACAAAGTGAGGCTGAAAGCTGTACCAGCCACTGACTCAGGGCCTGGAGGCCTAGTGAGCTGAGGCGGATCCGAAGCAGAAGCCAGCATTTTAATTCATTTTTGTCCTTTTTTTGTCTCTTGTTTTATTTCCATTTTGCTATTCTTTGTTTTTAACATTTATTTTTGAGAGAGAAAGAGAGAGAGGAAAATTGCCAGAGAGAGAGGGAGAGAGAATTCCAAGCAGGCTCCAAGCTGTCAGAGCAGAGCCTGACATGGGGCTCGATCTCATGAACTGCGAGACCATGACCTGAGCTGAAATCAAGAGTCGGACGCTTAACCGACTGAGCCACCCAGACGCCCCTGCTATTCTGTAATTTCAGAGGGGTTTTTGTGCTCCCGTTCTTGTCTGCGTCTGAGGATATGAGGCCCGCCCTCTGGCTGGCAGCATTCCCTGTGGACTGGCCTCACTCTGGACCAGCCATCATGCTGGAACATTCCGTGGGCCAGAGTTGGTGCCGCCTGGTCCGTCTCCATCCCCTTCCTTGGAGGGTTTTCACAAGGAAAACTGACTATGACACGTGGCTGTGGGAATGAGGTGCTAAGTGGATGTTCCTTTGGGAGCACAGGCAGCGGCCTGAGGGGACCTGGGGGACCAGGAAGGTCCCGGGCGACGGCCCTGTCACCTCGCCCTTGAAAGTGGAGTCTCAAGGTGCACGTGCCAGACGCGGGCAGTCAGCTCCCGCACTTGGTAAAGACTGAGACACAGAGACGACCTTGTCTTCCCAGAGAATGAGGGGTAGTTGGGGAGGGGGTAGTCGGAGAGGGGGTGGGGAGGGGTGTACGGGATGGGCTTTTGTTTTTTGTGGGGGGTTTTTGGTGGCAAAATTCACATAACACAAAATTTTATGTTCATGGTTTATACAATTTTAACCATTTTAAAATATACAAGGGATCATCTGTTTTCTACCAAAAGTACCAAGTCGCAAGTCATCCAGAATAAGGAGAAATAGATGTACTCTAACCCCTCCACCCAATTCGTCTGCCCGTTCCTTTGTCAGACAACTGGATTCACTGTTTCTGGGTCAAGAATCACCGACCCTTTTGTGGAAGGAGGCTACGGTTTCATTTCTCCCAGCCTTGAGATCGCTTGGAACCCGGGGGGTGGGGGGGCGGGGGGCAGCTGATCAACAGCAGAGGAGTGGAAGTGGCGAGGGCAGGCAGTAAGAATTGGGGCTCCAAGCAGGAGACGGTCCCTGAGGAAGGCAAGGCTGGGGACAAGCAGAGGAAGCCCACGGGGTCTTCTGCGGATGCTCCTCTCTGGACTGTCTTCCTGACCCACGGCGGGGACTCTAGCGTCCCATTTTAGTGGCCTGATCTTGCCTGTTTGGATCCTCCCTAGATTCACTGAGATACTCAGCATCCTTGTAATACATGCCCTGTTTGCTTCAGATGAGCCAAGGTCACCTGTGTTTCTCTGCACCCATGACCACTTTCACTGACACAGCCTCCTGGACCCCCGCCTCCCCAGGAGTGCGTGACTCGAACAGCGGGGGTGACAGAGAGTGGAATGGAGCTCTTCCCAGAAGGCCTAGGAGAATATTCCAACCCACTGGGTGGGAGCTCGTGTTGAGAAGGAAGCCTATTTTCCTTTTTTTTTTTTTTTTAAAGTAAACTCTACCCCCAACATGAGGCTCAAACTCATGACCCCAAGATTAAGAGTCGCAAGCTCTACCAGACTGAGCCACCCAGGCGCCCCAAGGAAACCCACTTTCCAAGAAGCTACTCATTTTGTTTTCTTTCCTTCGCTCTCTCCCCTCCCATCAGCATCCACATATCAGCTGATTTTATGGAACTTGGTGTCACCCATGTTGAAAGCCGACACAACTTGGCATTCGGTAATTATGTGGGCCCTGTTCCCGTGGTGGTAATTACGTGGGCCCTGTTCTGTATAACTGCCTAATAAATGCCGAGATGATGATTTCGGCAACTGCAGAGTCAGTGGCCCAGAATCCATCCTTTAATCTGCCAAGCAGAACGTTCTGAGGTAGAAGCTTGGAGAATGGGCTATTACTGAGCTGCTGTCCCCACTTCTTGGTGCTAAAGGCGGTGAGTCCTGGCCAGCCCGGGGAGTGGGGGGGGGGGGGGGGCAAGGCGATTTGTGCCCTAAGGCGTGAGTGACCCTCGAGCCAGATTTTCTGGAACTCAACTACAGTGAAAACCTAAGATATCATCCCACAAGCCTTTATGGTTTAAAAAGACTCAGAATTATTTTGATGCTGCTAGGATGCCAGGGACTACATAACACCTCCACATAGGATCCTCGAGAGAGATGTTCAAGGGCACTGTCCCCAGACTCTGCTCGGATTTCCAAGGGCTCTGCTCTTTCTCCCCAGGGCTCCTCTATCACACACTCTAGGTTTGTGGAGGTCACAGAATGTAATGGTTTTAAGGCATGATTGCGGAAGCCAGACTACCCAGGTTCGTATTCCTAGCCACGCCATTCACCGGCCATCTGACCTTGAGCTCAGCACCTAACCTCCCTGTGTCTCAGTTTCCCTATCTGTGAAATGGGACTAATGACAGAACCCACTTCACAGGGTTGCTGTGAGAATTAGACGTTCACTCATCTAATGCAAGGTGTTCGGACCAGTTCCTGGCACACAGGAGCCACTTCATGAGGAAGAGCTATTCTAATTGTAGGCCCAGCTAGCAAAGGAAAAGAAGAGAATTCACTCCACCATACGGCCAACTACTCACCATATACCTGCATCCCAGCATTGCCTCGTCACCTCATTCAACACACACTCATAAAGGGATCCTTAGCCGGCCCCAGCCACAGTGGAAGGTGATCTGATACAAGCATGGCTGCAGGGTGGTGGTGTGGAGGGTAGGCGCCTGCTCAGGGCACACACCTGCTACACGTAGTTGAATTCATCTATGTTAAATGGGCTTCCACTGTCAGGTGCCAAGGTCTGGCTATAAAACAGTGAGCAAGAGAGAGTCCCCGACCTTGGGAAGATTTCATGCAAGTAAGAAGGGGCAATCAACCCTTTATAAAACAATCAACCCATATAAAAATATACCAGCAAATTGTGTCATGCTTTATGAAAGAAAAGTGCAGAGTGCTGAAAGGGTATCCTTTGATACCTTTATTGGTCATGAGACCGAAGGATAAATAGCAGTGACCCAAGCAGGGTCAGGAAGCAGTATTCTAGATGGAGGGCAACATGTGCAAAGACCCTGTGGCCGGAAGAGGACCTAGAGCTAAAAGAGGTACCATTAAATAAGAGGGTGGGAGAGAGGGGAGAGAAAGAGAGACAGAGACAGAGACAGACAGGGCTATAGCAACCACAGACCTGCGCTGTGGTTCTACTGCGTGGAAGAAGAATGTGGTTCTTAGGTCTCCGCCCCGCCTCCTGTCCACCACATTTTCTAGTTACTTCATGTTGACAGCGGGAAATTATCTAAGCACATCAAAATAAGAAACAGCACTTAAGCTGCTCACTTACATAAGACAACAGCTTAAAAATATCTCTGTTCCTGCACTGGGTATTGCTTCAGCGGGTAACTTGGTCTTTCAAGGATATACTTTGTTTCAGAGATAGGATATTCCTATAACAAAAACAAGCCCAGCAATTGCATTAATCAGAGTGTCATATAGATCAATTACCCAGACGTGTGCTTCTGCATGGAAGAGGCTGGGGGAGTGGGGGGGGGGGGGAGCTAGGTGACTCAGACCATGAAGCAAAGGATTCCTGACCTCAGCTCAGGTCTTGATCTCAGGGTCATGAGTTCAAACCCCCGCACTGGGCTCACACTGGACACGAAGCCTACTTTTAAAAAAAAGGAAAAGAAAAGAGGCCCGTGGCCCACGCATGCCCCGTACATGGGGTTTACTACATACGTAAATACATACAGATACTTTCTTCTTTTTTCCCTTCTTTTTCTTCCCCTCCCTTCCTCCCTTCCTTTCCTTCTTTTTGCATTCTGAAGGGATTCCCTTCCTTGAAAAGATTGGAAATAACAAAGCAAAACCAATGACTTTGCCGAGAGGAAGCAAAGTAATTCACAACCTTCTCCATGAAAATCAATATCCATCTATTTATTTTTTTATTTAAAATTTTTAATTTACTTTTGAGAAAGAGAGAGAGAGAGAGAGCATGAGCTGGGGAGGGACAGCGAGAGAGGGAGACCCAGAATCTTATGTAAGCTTAAGGCTCTGTGCTGAGCCTCAGCTCAAGTCTGACACAGGGATCGAACCCACAAACCGCGAGATCATGACCTGAGCCTAAGCTGGATGCTTAACCGGCTGAGCCACTAGGTGCTGTAATATTCATTTATGAGTGATGCCCTATCAATCTAGAATATGCCAGTGTGTACATAACTCAAGATGACCACTTCAACTACTACATGGTGTCTGGGGCACTGCCGACCTCTCACTGGAATTATTTTGAAATGGCGACAGGCCGCGTAGCTCGTGGCTGCACCCTGCAGTAGACAGAGTACTGGGTATATCTGTCTATGGGTTAGAAACATGCCCCACGCCCCAGAAGTCAAACAGCCAAAACATTTTATTAACTTTTAACATTTTCCCCCAAACCACAGTCTGCCCTGGGCTCAGATTCCTGTGCACGGTCCACGGGGCTGTGCTTGGGGTCAGTGAGGGGTCCTCCCTCCGTCCTTGAAAGGACCCTGCTCCCCCGTGATGCAGGACCTCTGCCTGCTGCATGCTGAGCTGCAAAGTAGCTGCTTCTCATGGATCAGATGGAACCTCCCGTGTCTCTTCCTCAGGGAAGCCCACCTTGATTCCCAACCACGTCAATAGCCCCTTTTGGACGCTCTCAGGACACCATGTACCCTCCTTGGTAAGTGTCACAATTTTACATTTATTTCTACAATTACTGGATTAATGTCTGTCTCCCCCACACCTCCTCAGAGACTGTAACCCCCCAGTTCCCATGTTACTTTGTCAGCGATTTTGTTTTCTCAGAAGCCCTACCTTGTTCAGGTGTTGCTGAGCTCTGTGGGCTGTCAGGAGGCTGCACACCCTTTCGTGGATCTTCCTCCATGTGGACTGAGAATAAAGGTGGAATCTACCCAGAAAATGAAACAGGTGGGAGTGTTAGGCAGCTTCTAAAAAGGATACGTAGAGCACAGAACACTGACACTTACAGCTTAACAGTAAGAAAAAGCAGTAACAGTATCCATAGTGTGGTTTCGGTGTCTTTGTCAACCCCTATGCATAAGATACACGGTGGCGAATAAAAACCACCACAGTGTGGAGAACGCCTGTGTTTGGGGGCGTGGCTCTGAGGGATTCTTTTCTTCTTTGTACTTTACCACCCATTTCAGATATTTCACTAAAGAATAAATCCTGCTTTCACGTTGAAAAATTTAATCTGCCAATGTTTAACACGAAACGTAATCCCAATTGTTTTCCACCACAAGGATTTTTTTTAATGTTTATTTATTTTGAGGGAGAGAGCGTGCGTGCATGCGCATGTGAGCAGGGAAGGGACAGAGAGACAGACAGAGAGGAAGAGAGAGAGAGAATCCCAAGCAGGCTCCGCTGTCAGTGCAGAGGCCAACACAGGGCTCGAACACATGAATGATGAGATTATGACCTGAGCCAAAATCAAGAGTCAGACACTTAACTGACTGACTGAGCTACTCAGGCGCCCAGGAATTTATTGCTTATCTCATTTACTTTAGGCTGTGCGGACCCAAACTTAATCACATACCTTAGGATGCCTTTAAGTTCCTCACATAGGATGCATTTTCCCCCTTCCACATCCACCAGCACTGCTCCATAGGCCTGGAATGCTGCCACTCCCACCCGATCCCCAGTATCTCAGCAAAGTCTCCCCTAAGCCCCCTCCTGTAGAGGAAGTCACCTCCCCCATTACATGCACTTCGAGTCCATTTATCCATCATTCATAGCACTTCACCCAGTGACATTTTGTCATTATTACGTTAATCTCTGAAATTGGCAGAGTTGGGGGTGGGGGCAGGGTGCCTGAGTGGCTCAGTCAGTTAAGTGTCAGACTGGCTCAGGTCATCATCTGACAGTTCGTGGGTTCAAGGCCCACATAGGGCTCTGTGCTGACAACTCGGAGCCTAGAGCCTGCTTCAGAATCTGGGTCTCCCTCTCTTTCTGCTCCTCCCCTGCTTGTGCTCATTCTCTCTCTCTCTCAAAAATAATAAACGTTAAAAAAAAAAAATCTATGCTAGGGTTAAAAGAAAAGCACAAACACTGTTCTCTAAAAATTCCTAAAGAAATTTAGCAATATGTTGAAATCATTCTCTTTAATTAATGTATAATAAACACTGGACACTCCTGGGAAACCAAATGGCCTTTCCATGACTGTGTTGTCCTTTGTCACAGTTGACCATGGCCTTATTTACAAACTCATAGTCCAATGAGTTACAAAGTTCTCCATTTAGAGTGACTCTGGGCACATAGAATTTGCTGATTCATCAGAGGTTGAGGATAAAAATCTGATCTACACCCCAATGTCCTAACTCCTGAGAATGAACTTGAAAAAGCTCCTCACTGCCTTCCCACAAAGCCTAAACTCCTTAGCTTGGCTTCCACGGTCCCTTGGACCCTCAGCCTTGGCACCCACCATTCCCCCACGCTGCTCTAACTTCTAGAAGCTGCCAGTGTGCCCTGTGGCTTCTCACCTCCAATCCCTCCCCTCCATTAACTCTACCAGAATCTAATCCCCTCCCTTCAAAGCCCACATGGGAAACACCACCACCTCCATGAAGCATTCCTTCCTCGTCCTTCATACTCTGATAGCATTTGGTCTACACTATTCTCCAAGTCCTGCCTTGTAGAAAGCTCTCTGCATACATGTTTGTTTTTTACATCCTCTGCTAAGTTGCAAGTTCTCAGAGATCAGGACAAAGGTCTTGAATGTTAGCATTTCCAGGGGCACCTGGGTGGCTCAGTCGGTTAAGCATCTGACTTCAGCTCAGGTCAGGGTCTCATAGTTTGTGAGTTCAAGCCCTGCATCAAACTCTGGGCTGACAAAACAGAGCCTGCTTGGGATTCCTTCTGTGTCACTCATTCCCCCCCCCCCCCCACCGCTCGCTCGTGTTCTCTCTCTCTCTCAAAAATAAATAAATAAACATTTTAAAAAACAATAATAAAGTAAATCCTAGGGATGTAATGGAGAGCATGGCAACTATAGTTAATACATTATTGCATATTTAAAAGTTGCTGAGAGAATAAGCCTCCAGAGTTCCCACCACAGGAAAAAAATATCTGTAACCGTGTATGGTGACGGGTGTATACTGGATTTATTGTGGTGAGCATTTTGTGCTCTATACAAACAGAAACAAGATGTTGTACGCCTGAGACTAATATAATGCCATATGTCAATTATTCATTTTTTAAAACTGTCTTAAAAATATTATCTACAGTGCCACTTCCAGTGTAAGGTGACCACACTGTCCTGGTTTGCTAGGGAGTAAAGTGTTTCCCAGAATGCAGGACATTAAGAGGCAAAGTCAGGGGCGCCTGGGTGGCTCAGTTGGTTAAGCATCTGACTTCAGCTCAGGTCATGATCTCATGGTTCATGAGTTTGAGCCCCGCGTCGGGCTCTGTGCTGATGGCTAGCTCAGAGCCTGGAGACTGCTTCAAATTCTGTGTCTCCCTCTCTCTCTGCCCCTTCCCTGCTCTCTCTCTCTCCCTCTCTCTCTCTCAAAAATAAATAAACATTAAAAAAAAAAAAAAGAGCCAAAGTCGGAATTGTCCCAGGCCAACTGGATAGATGGTCACCGTACTAGAGAATATGATTTGGAAAATAGTTTCTTCTCTCAATTTTGGGCCTGCCTACCAGATATGTGAAATTGTGGGGGGTTTTATTATTTGTGACAATCATATAAATAAACCCAGAAAAACATGTCTAGAAAGAGAAAAAATATGCCTACATGTTGATATTTCCTATCTTTGAGTGGCAGGACTATGGGTGATTTTTTTCACCCCTTTTTGTTTTTCTGGAATTTCCCAACTTTCTATAGTGAGCACTTTTGTAATGCTGAAATCAAATTCCTGGGGTGCCTGGGTGGCTCAGTCGGCTGGGTGTGTGACTTCAGCTCAGATCATGATCTCAGGGTTTGTGGGTTTGAGCCCCACGTAGGGATCGGTGCTGACAGCTCAGAGCCTGGACCTGCTTTGGATTCTGCGTCTCCCTCTCTCTCCACCCCTCCCCCGCTCACACTCTGTCTCTCACTCTCTCTCAAAAATAAACAAACATTTAACAATTTTATTAAAAAATAATAAAGAAATCAAACTCTTGAGGGTTTAAACTTACAAAAGATAAAAATGGATAAACAGTATGTATGTCGAGTGAGCTATCTGTCCCATTTTCAACATACATTCTGAGAGATGCTGTCCACAGGCAAGAGAAAAGGCTCAATCCTTCCTTCTGGGAAAATTTGAAAAGAAACAGTGATTTTTCATATCACCAGCTGAACCCTCCTAAGGAAGCAAACTGATGACGTGACCAGCCTGTACTCCCACTAAACCACAACACACTCTTCAAGCAAACAGACGGGTGCTGGCCGCCGACCTTTCTCGAAGAAGGGGCTGATCCAGAAGACGACCGGACGATCTGGAATGCTGGTAGGTGGCAGAGGAAGCTTCCGGGTGGAAATCGGCATCTCCTTGGTTACTGTAACTGGGTGACGGTTTTCCGAACATACTTGAATCTGAAGCTGATGGTGATTCTTTCCTTAAAATAATCCGTTCATCTGGCTCTTTGATAACCTAAGTGACAATGCATATTATTCCTTAGTTGTAATTTTGCTTTCAGTTTGCTTAATTTAGAGCCGGGGGTGGGTGGGATGAGGAAGGGGCAAGCTAAGTGAGGACATGCCCCCAATGAGCTCCTGCAGTTACAGAGCAGCAGAAGCAGGCGATACTAGAAACAAAATGCTCAGGAGTCAAGGTCAAAGGAAAGAGAACCAAAATTCTCCACGTTTGGTGTATATTAACAAGCCACAATAAACTCATGCTCTGGGCTTTGATTTGAGAGGATACAGGATTATCATGTTTGGTAAAGATACAATTTTTTAAATAAAAAATTTAAAGGCCATGGCATCAAAAGCTCAGTAGACTCCATTTGTCTGCCTACATCTATTTTCATGTTGTAACACAGAAGTGTGAGCCCTTCACCTTGACAAACCAAACTTCAAGAGCAAGTGGTTTACCACCTCTATGTATTATTAAAAGTATTTGATTGGAAAAAAAAAAAAAAACAAAGCAAAAAAAATACCTACTGGTAAAGTAGGTACCGGGGCCTTCGACGTTGGTGATTCGTTCTACAAATGGAAAGAGCTTATATGAGGGGAACAAAGCCACCAATCCAAAGCGTACACGGTGGCGCCTGGGCGGCTCTTAAATTCTAGTGAAACTATAGCAATTCCACAAGCAGCACTTGCTAGAAATATCCCTTCCACCCCACATCGGGGAACGCACAAGAACCGACGTCGGAAGCTGGAAATAAATCATTTCACAAATGCTACTTCTACAATTACCTTTATGTTAGCGGCAAGGCTGTCAAGAGAAGCAGCTAGAAGAAAGAGGAACAGGTGTTTCAGTGACTCATTTTTACCAGTAACCCCTAAAATTGTTGTTAGGTTTCTTCCACAGCAGCACAAAACGATGACACTTGAATGAATTATTAAAGAATCTAAGTGCTCCCTTGTAAATGACACTGTCAACTTTTATGCGTCCCTTGAGTCACAGCAATACTTCCTCGGAGGTTTTCTGCCCTCTTGAGGTCCAGTGAAGTTATATGATTAATGACAGCACACAGGGACGTGGAAAGGGCAAAGGAGGGTCTAAGGTGAAGCAGTTAGCTCAGTAATCCTCACGCAGCCTGGAAAACAAAACTCAGATTTGCCCAATTGCCCAGAGCCGAAAAGAAAACCATGTGACTCTCATATAACATCCATATACTCTGCCTCTTCTGCCATTCCCTCCACATTTGGCCTACGTGGAGATCCTATTTATGCACAAGTCACCGGCATACTTGTCCACGGTAGACGCGAATGTTAAATGGAGACAATGAATAAACAAGAGCTTGGGAAAACTTATCGCAGGAAAGGGTAAGTCATTAGGATCAGCCTAAGCCATCAGGAGTCAGCAGGTAGACCGCGCGCCAGGGGATGGTAAGAATGACTAGAAGTGCAGTAATACATACACACAGGCTAAATCAAGACTAAGTTGGATTCCTCCAAATTCAGGGAAAAAATGCTTTTGGAATGAGTATTTGCAAGTCTATCCCAAGGACACCGTGGTTTCCCCGCCCTGTGCAGCGACAAGGGCTTTTCGTGGATTCCTAACGTCCCTCGGCCACTGGCAATAAGAAGGAAGATACGAAAAGGGCCTTTTATTTATTTATTATTTAAATGTTTTTCTTTATTTCTAGGAGAGAAAGAGAGAGACAGCGTGAGCAGGGGAGGGTCAGAGAGAGAAGGAGTCACAGACTGAAACAGGCTCCAGGCTCTGAGCTGGCAGTCAGCACAGAGCCCGACGCGGGGCCCGAACCCACGAACCGCGAGATCATGACCTAAGCGAAAGTCGGACGCTTAACCGACTAAGCCACCCAGGCGCCCCCGAAAAGGGCCTTTTAAAGACTGGTAATCGTCACATCCCCCCCGCATGCACATGTGTGTGTGTGTGTGTGTGTGTGTGTGACTATCTCGTCCCAGCTCTCCCCGCTGAGCAGGGAGCAGCCAATACTAATGGCCTATCATCTTGCTTCTCCAAGTGCAGCCATGCACCAGCCGTGTCGTTATTACCAGGAAGCTCGTAAGAGAAGAAGGCTCCCAGGCCGCACCCCAGCCCTCCTGAATCAGAATCTACAGTTTAGTAAGAGTCCCAGGTGATTCAAAGGCACATTCAAGTGTGAGAAGCCGCTGCTTTGTTCTGCCTCAGGCCTGGATGAATGAGCTTAGGGTGACCTAAGCCAAGGTCTGGCTTGGGACCTCCAGGGATTGGAAGGGTCTGAGAGCCCAGAGGTCTGAACTTCTTCTCTAAAGGCAGGTGTGCCTTGCACACTCTGGAACTTCTCTGGAACCTCAGTTCTCCACCCTCCAGGATTAAGAAGACAAAGAGATGGGGCGCCTGGGTGGCTTAGTCGGTTAAGCATTTGACTTTCACTTAGGTCATGATCTCGCGGTTCGTGGGTTCGAGCCCCACATCGGGCTCTGTGCTGACAGCCAGCTCAGAGCCTGGAGCCTGCTTCAGAGTCTGTGACTCCCTCTCTCTCTGACCCTCCCCTGCTCACGCTGTCTCTCTCTCTCCTAGAAATAAAAAGAAACTTAAAAAAATTAAAAAATTAAAAAAAAAAAGACAAAGAGGCCGATACCATGTGATGCGTGAGAGTCCTGTGGTGACTGCGCCAGCATTAAGCCCAATGCGTCCCCGCCGGGAAAGGACACTTGCCATTGCCCGATCCCACGGTAATAGGGAAGGCAGTTGCAGCTTTTATAGGCTACGCGGGTGATTTTCAATCCAAAAGACTTAAATTAAATGTCAGAGGTGATAAAGCACTTTCTGCTTCAAACCCTGCACTCTGTCCTTGGCTGGCTGCTAACAGTCACCGTGAATCACTAAAAGACTCTGTGCAGCCACTTAAAAGTGTAAGCCGTTAAGCCTAAAATAGGGAACGTGTTGTCAGGGATGGCCTGGGTCCAGTTCCACCAGGAGTCAAGAAAATAGGCCAGCATTGCTAGCCGAAGAATTTTTATCAGGTGCAGGAATGGATGGATTTCACTGCCGTGACCTTCGGGGCTGACACATCACAAGGTAAATGCCACCAAGAGACACATTAACTCACCGACTCTCAACATTTGGTTCGGGGACCTCCCCGGGGCTCACCGACACCTTCCGGGAAATCTGCAAAGCCAGAACTGTTCTCATAATACTAAGGCGCAAGTTGTCTTTCTCTCAGTCTCTCACGAGGGAATTTTCCAAAAGCTACATAATGTGTCATGACATCACCACTCCACGCGGCTAACGGAACATGTGCTCGTTATATGCCCGTGTTTTAACAAATGTCTCTGTTTCAGTTTCTAATATGCTAACTATTAATAGATATCATCCACATAAACAAAAGCTCTTTGGGGTCCTCAACAGTATTTAAGAATGCAAAAGGGTCCTGGGGCACCTGGGGGTTCAGTCGGGTAAGTGTCCGATTTCAGCTTATGATCTCACATCTGGTGGGTTCAAGCCCGGCGCGGGGCTCTGTGCTGACAGCTCAGAGCCTGGAGTCTGCTTCAGATTCGGCGTCTCCCTCTCTCTCTCTGCCCCTCCCCTGCTCATGCTGTGTCTCTGTTTCTCTCAAAAATAAATGAACATAGAAAAAATGTTTTTGAAGAATGCAAAAGGGTCCTGACAGCTCCAGGTGAGACTCTCTGCTTTAATGGCTTCAGGTCAAGCTGGTGCCCCTCTTGCTGACCTGGCATCTTGTAAAGCAAATCCTTGATCTCCACCAATCCGCCCCGCCCCCCGCTCTTTCCCATCTAGAGAAATGGCGAGCCTCCTGGGTCAGCTGTGTGCCGTGCACACCAGGACAACCCCCCGCTCCTCTGGCCCTGGGCCAGGCCCAGGGCACAGCTGCTGATGGTGCCACTCAGAGCATCTCCTTCAACAGCCGGGGGACCAGGAAGGGGACACTTCTCCCCGGCCTCTGCTCTGGGGGAGCAAACTCCCTTCCCTGCAAACTCCACAGCTGGATGGCACCTGACAATTAGGCAAAAGAGTTTCTAAAGAAACTTTGGATACTTCAGAATGAAAGAAGATTTAGGGGGCGCCTGCGTGGCTCCGTCAGTTGAGCATCTGACTCTTGGTCATGATCTCATGGTTTATGGGTTCGAGCCCCACATCGGGTTCTGTGCTGACAGTGCGGAGCCTGCTTGGGGGTCTCTCTCTCTCTCTCTCTCTCTCTCACTCTCTCTCTCCCCCACCTCGTGCTGTCTCTCTCAAAATAAATAAACATTAAAGAGAGAGAGAAAAAAAAAGAAAGATTTAGAAGGAGGATGCATTCCTTCCTACCGGGGAATATATAGGAGTAACAAACAAGAAACTCCAGTACCTCTTCTCCCTGGAAAAGGTGAGTTTGAAAACTTGGATCTTCTCCTAGACTTCCGGGACGGAAGCTCTGACATATTCTCACCAAAAGGCTTTGCACTGTCCACCTGAAAGAAAGGAAAGAAATCAGATTTGAGCCCACCATAGCTTGTGTTACCCCCTCCTCAATTACCTGAATGCCTTTCTCCCCTTAATCGTGGGCCACGCAGGTAAGAAGAGAAGGTTGGGGGGAGGCGCCTAAGGGGCTCAGTCAGCTGAGCATCCGACTTCGGCTCAGGTCATGATCTCACGGTTCATGAATTTGAGCCCCCCCTCCGGCTCTGTGCTGACAGCTAGGAGCCTGGAGCTGCTTCGGATTCTGTGTCTCCCTCTCTCTCTGCCCCTCCCCTGCTCGTGCTTTCTCTCTCTCAAAAAGTAAATAAACATTAAAAATTTTTTAAAAATAATTTTAAAAGAAGAAGAGAAGGTTGGGAACAAGTTATCCCAACAAAGGAAGCCGTTTGTCCTATCTTTGCTGAGGCTTCAACAGGAAGGTATGGGCTAAATCTTAGCACCCAGAAAAGAGTAAGTGAAGTTTATTTTGAAATCTTTCAAAACAGGACAGTTTCATGTTACTAAACAGGGGGCAGTGCTGGCCTAGGTAGGGTCCTCCTGAAATCGGGATTACCACAAGGTGACATTTCAGCCTTCCCCATGCCCTTCCAATCAGAATGTATGTACCCTTAAAAAAAAAAAAGAAGAATAGTGGCAGCCACATTATTTTAATTAAGGTGACCTTATTATCCTCAGTTGGACAACATAATCTGTAAACAGGTCCAAACACTTGAAATACAGAACTCTTCCAGAATTCTTCGGGCATAGAGTTGCTGGATTTTTTTTTTTATCTTGCTTGTTTGTCATTTTTTTTTAATTTCAAGAAGGCAGGTTATAATGTTATCTTCATTCTACTTTCAGAATTATATTGATTAGAATTTACTGTCTTCATGACATTAAGTCCTCTAAATTTTAATGCTCCTGCGTAAAGAAACGTCATTTGCCATCAGGAAGCCTGACTACATAAAAGAGTTCCTACATATAAAGCATTTAGAAAAGAACTTGTACATGGTAGAGGCTGCACAAGTATTTGTTAAATAAAATAAATACCAAGGGGCTCCTGAATGGCTCAGTCGGTTAAGCATCCAACTTCGGCTCAGGTCATGATCTCACAGTTTGTGGGTTTGAGCCCCGCGTTGGGCTCTATGCTGACAGCTCAGAGCCTGGAGCCTGCTTCGGATTCTGTATCTCCCTCTCTCTCTGACCCTCCCCTGCTCACGCTGCCTCTCTCAAAAAAAAAAAAAAAAAAAGAAAACCAGCAAGTTTTATTCCCTACGAAATCTACAAGATTTTAAGATTATATAGCCCAAAGCATCTCGACTACAGCTGTATTTCACAAAATGTATTTCAAGTGAAATGAAGCAGACTGTCCAATAAACTCAGTTCAACAATATGTAAAGATTGGTTGCTAGGTTTTTACCATTTTTACCCAGGTTACCATGAGTTAACCCCAGGTGCTCTAGCCAAGTACCATCTCTGTTATACCTTCAAACCTGCTCTGCGCACAGTCACCTCAATCAGTAGCATGATGACTTCGGGGTTGGCCACGCTTTCATATCTTTTTTTTTTTTTTTTTGTGAGAGAGAGCACGCTTGAGCAGGAGAGAGGCGCAGAGGGAGAGAGAGATAGAGAAAGAGACAGACAGAGAATCCCAAGCAGGTTTGACATGAGGCTCGATCCCACGACCCTGGGATCATGACCTGAGGTGAAATTGAGATTCAAAAGCTTAACCAACTGAGCCACCCAGGTGCCCCCTCACACCTATGTCTCATGCACCAACATCATCACCAGTGACTTCTTTAAGCCAAGTTATCAATTTGACGGTAATATCGACAGTTAAGTATTAGGAGTTTGAACGACTCTGGGAGAATAAATCATTAACTAGAATGTGGAATAAAGAATATGAAATAATGCAGGAAAAGCTTTTAATGTAGTATTGACCAAATATATTGAGAAACCAATCGGTATATACAGTATAATTATAACTTTGTGGAAAAAATAAAACCTTATGAACATTTAAAAAGTGAAAGAAAATGTTTCTTTTATTACACTGGTAGCTTATAATCTTTTTTAAATTTCTATATTTTCCATTACTTTAAAATTTTTTAATGTTTATTTGAGACAGACAGAACATGAGCGGGGGAGGGGCAGAGAGAGAGGGAAACACAGAATCCAAAACAGGCTCCAGGCTCTGAGCTGTCAGCACAGAGCCCGACACGGGGCTCGAACCCACGAATCGTGAGATCATAACCTGAGCTGAAGTGGGATGCTTAACTGACGGAGCCACCCAGGCACCCCTCCATTACTTTTATAGCAGTCAAAACAATTTAAGGAGGCTATGTAAGCTGCTGTGATTAAATTCCCCGCTACTTCCTGAGGGCTAATCCTAAGAAAGCTTTCATTAAGGGCTTTGAGTAGGGCACATCATTGCTCCTTCCTGCAGACTCGTTTTTCCTGCTTTTTAAAGTAAAAACAACATCATTTTTAAAACTCGGGCCGTTTTCTTTAAAACTGATGAAGCCTCAGTTTGCAATGGGGACAGAGCACATGTTGGCCTTCGTTATATGTCTTCTACCGCTGTCGCCTGGCTGATTCTTCTGGATAATGTCAGGTTGTCACATGCAGGCATCATCCTGTATTAATAATTTCCAAAAATTAAAAATAGGGATGACTGACATTTATTGAGCAAGTCCTCTGCACGAGACATCGTCGTATGGCTTTCCTGACAATGACTCCAGGAAGCAAACTGCATTTAATCACAGGTACGATTCAATTTGAATTCCTTCTTTATTTAATATTATAACCCATTTGGCTTTCTGGCCCGACCTTCGCATAGTCTGCCCTCATTCGTACCTTCACCCCTCCGAACTCAGAAAAATGATTTTAGGCTCACATGTCTAACTACAAATGGGGGTTTGCTTTCCCTGGAGATTCTGAAATTGTTTCTGAGGCTCGGTTGAGCCGGCTGGTCCTGGAGGAAGCGTCTGGAGGGGCAGGGCGAGGGGGCCCGGGATTGCGTGCTTTGGGGCACTCGGTTGAGATTACTGTCCTTTGGCTTCATCCTCATGTTATGTAAGGGGAAGATTGGCCCCTGTGATGTAGATAAAGGCTTTCTTGATTTGTCTCTTTCTTCCTGAAACCAAGAAGAAACAATGTTTTTACAAATGAACACAGAGAAAAAAGAAGAAAAATCCAACCAGAATATAACTGTATTTAATTGAACTTGGCTTAAATAAACTAGAAGAGTGAACATCTCAGATTTGCAAAACAGGAACTTAGAAAGGGTAGTATTTCTACTTAGCTTTTCTTCACTTCAGCTTAACATCACTAGTATTTATAACTCACTAGTGTAATATCTTTCAATCAATAACGGTGACATTTATTTGTATCGGGGAGAAAGTTGGGGGCACCTGGGTGGCTCCGTCGGTTGAGGGTCTGACTCTAGATTTTGGCTCAGGTCATGATCTCGCAGTTTGTGGGTGTGAGCCCTGTAGACAGGCTCTGCGCTAACAGCAGGGAGCCTGCTTGGGATTCTCTCTCTCTCTCTCTCTCTCTGCCCCTCCCTCCTCTACCTCACTCTCAAAATAAATAAACAATAAAAAAAAAAGAAGAAAGTTGGAAGGTATCAGACACTTCTCCCCTATCACAGATACATGACTGACAGAGACGGAGATAAAGAGAGAGAAATGGAATCCGACACACACCCCACTCCAGCAATTCCACATCAAGGGATTTATTATAAGGAAATGATTACGGCTATGTGTATAGCTACAAACATTCTTATAACCGTTCAAAACAGAAGTCAGCTGTACTGGTGAGGAAGCAATTTGCTCTCTGCTCCGAACCCACCTTGCTCGAATACTCCGCTAGGCGGCGCTGCGGCAAACCCCGTGTGCTTTCCTAGCCGCTCCGGCAGGCGCCACCGCTAGAGGGCGCCGGGGAGGCTGCAAGCCAGGAAGGGGAAGCCAGGCTCCCAAGCCCAGGGCTGCCTTGCATTGCTGTCAATGTCACCCCAGTCACCACCCTTCACCTTCCGAGTGCCAGAGGGGCCAGGTTTATCGTGTTCCTCCCACAACCCCAGCGCTAGCCTCCTGCGCCCCACTCCCACCTTCCAGCACCAGCTGGCCAGAGTCCTCCCTCAGGGCTCTGGGACTTGGGGCCCAGGGCCCTTCCCCTTCAAGGTCCTGGGTCACCAGCGGCGAGTGGTGTCCGTCACACAGGTCTGCACTGTCCTGCCTCTGGATTCCTGAGGAAGCACCCAGGAAGCCGGCCCTCCCCAGGTCTGGGTCCCACTGCTGTTGCGTTTGGTCTCCTCCTCAGGCTTCTATGGTCTCTATGACTCCATTGCTTCCCTTTGTTCCTCCAGCCCTAGGGCTGGAAGCCGCTTCCTAAAGTTCCCACATCTGTCACTTCGATGTCCCTTTCACCCCTGAGTCCTTCAACCCGTTTGTCCTGTGACTTCATTTAAAAAAAATTTTTTTTTAATGTTTTATTTATTTTTGAGAGAGAGAGAGAGAGACAGTGTGAGCAGGAGAGGGTCAGAGAGAGAGGGAGTCACAGACTGAAACAAGCTCCAGGCTCCAAGCTGGCAGTCAGCACAGAGCCCGACGCGGGGCTCGAATCCATGAACTGTGAGATCATGACCTGAGCCGAAGTCGGACACTTAACCAACTGAGCCATCCAGGCGCCCCTGTCCTTTTACTTTAAAACATTAAATCTTTTGGAGCGGCTGGGTAGGTCAGTGGGTTGAGTGTCCAACTCTTGATTTCGCCTCTGGTCATGATATCACGGTTCATGAGTTCAAGTCCCATGTTGGGCCCTTCGCTGACAGCGTGGAGCGTGCTTGGGATTCTCTCCCTTCCTCTGCCTCTCCCCCGCCCACACAGGTGCCCGTGCTCTCTCTCCCTCTCTCTCAAAATATAAATAAACTTCAAAAAAAAAATAAAAGATTTAACCCCTTTACTAAAATAACATGTGCAGTATGTTTTCCTGACTACTGTATCAGTGAAGAGCCCAATAACAGGAAAATGGCCAATTTACAGTACTTCTGTATAACGGACTCTGATGAAGCCATGAAACACTGCCTGGTGTAAGAATACTTAAGGACGTGAGGAACATGCTCATGGCATATTAGGTGGAAAAGGAAAGATGCAAAATAATATGCAGTATACCATGATCTCAATCTTCTAACATTAAAATCGTGTGTGTGTGTGTGTGTGTGTGTGTATGTACAGAAGAATATGCTCAAAAAAAGAAGTCATGCTCATCTCTAGATAATGACAGGCAATTTTTATTTTATACCTTTTGCTTATCTGTATTTTCTAATTTTCTGAAATAAATGCTTTTGTTATAAGAAAAAAAAACAATAAAAGCTATTACTTTAAAAAGGTAACATTTGGGGTGCCTGGGTGGCTCAGTTGGTTAAGCATCGAACTTCAGCTCAGATCAATATCTTGCACTCTGTGAGTTCAAGCCCCATGTCTGGCTCTGTGCTGACAGCTTGGAGCCTGGAGCCTGCCTCAGATTCTGTGTCTCCCTTCCTCTGCCTTTCCCCTGCTTGTGCTCTGTCTCTGTCTCTCTCTTTCAAAAATAAACATTAAAAATTTTTAAAATAATAATAAATAAAAAGTTACCACGTAAAGACCTATATTAGGAGATAAAAGCAAAATTAAAATGGTGGAGTGGAAAAGAAAGATAAATTGAAAATGATCACCTTGCACCTGTATCAGCCTGGAAAAAAATAGTGGGTAAATAAGGAAACGGGGACACCTGGTGGCTCAGTTGGTAAAGCATCCAACTCTTGATTTCAGCTCTGGCCACGACCTCATGGTTTGTGAGTTCAAGCCCTGCATGGGGCTCTGCACTGACAGCATAGAGCTTGCTTGGGATTCTCTCTCTCTCCCTTTCTGTCCCTCCCCCACTCATGCTGTCTCTTTCAAAATAAATAATCTTTTTTTTTAAAAATAAAGAAAACCTAAAAAGCAGCTAATGACTTCCTTAAAACTAATCACTGGCCTCCCATTATATGAGTTATGATGCCCAGAGGATGGATGTATTTGCACAGATTAGTGACCCTTTTCATTCAGTAACCCCTTAAACCACAGCCTACATTTTCAAGGATTTTCCAGGATGTCCGCCAAGATTTGGGATGACAAGCAAAGGAAAGCTTTACAAATTACATTCAGTCATGCTTCAGATTGTTCTAGAAAGGGTTTTAAATGATTAAAAATTATGAGCAATAAGGTAAAAGAAACAGCAAAAGCAAGGATGATGGGGGAAATCGGGGCTGAACAAGAGAGTGAAACAGAGGTGGTGTTCCAGAATGCCCCAGGACCTTCATGGACACCAGAGATGGCCCCAAATGCAGCTTGGGGCACCAGCCTCAGCAAAACAGGGAAGGAACACTCATGTTGAGAAGATCAAGAGCAAAAGTCATGAAACACTAGCAAAAAGGCTAACTAGCCTACTGATGTCAAACTTGTGCTTTTAGCTTTTGTATCGCTTTTCTATCTGCTCCTCCACACACCATGAGGAATACATGTCAGACACGGTTTAATAGGACAGGCTGAACCGTCCAAATATAGAAATTCAAACCCAGCCATGAGTCTCCAGGTTTCTATTCACCCAGTTGCATCTAAACTTGGTAACCGAGTTTGAGCTGAGAAAAAAATCTGTGGAGAATATTCCTGACAGATCTACCACTGGCTTCTTGATTATACTTACAAGAAATCTGTTTCTAGGCAGGAACACGCATTCTCTGATGGCTGTCCTTGTGGCAAACTCTATTTTGGGAGCAATGCCCTAAAAATGAAGTAGCATAAAAGCAGCAAATAAATTACTGGAAACAGATCCTTTGCCCATCCCATTCTAACTTGAAACCATGTAAGAACCTAATTACTCTTTTGTGTAGATGGCATAGCCCATACATATCACCTAAAATATTCATATGGGGCACCCGGGTGGCTCTGTACGTTAGGCATCCGATTCTTGGCTTTGGCTCAGGTCACCATCTCACAGTTTCTAGATGGAGCCCTGTGTCAGGATCTGCACTGACAGAGCGGACCCTGCTTGGGATTTTCTCTCTCTCCCTCTCTCTATGCCCCTCCACCGTTCATGCTCATACTCTCTCTCTCAAAATAAAGAAACATAAAAAAAAAAGTCTTAATAAAATAAAAATAAAATATATATGTAACAAATATATATGCAATGGAGTATTATCCAGTGTTAAAAAAGAAGGCAATCGTGCCATTTGTGACAACATATAAGAATCTAAAGCGCATTACGTTAAGTGAAATAAGCCAGACAAAGAGAGACAAATATGGTGTGTTACTTCTACGTGGAATCAAAAATCATCAGACTCATAGAAGCAGAGATTAGAATGTCACTTGCCAGGGGCTGGAGGCTGGGGGAAGTGGGGAGATGTTGGTCACAGGGTACAAAGTTTCAGTTAGTTATACAAGCTGAACAAGTTCTGGAGATGATCTGATGGACAGCAATGTAACTATAGTTAATAGTATTGTATTTTTGAAAGTTTCTTTTTTTTAAATGTTATTCATTTTTTAGGGGCGCCTGGGAGGCTCAGTCGGTTAAGCGGCCGACTTTGGCACAGGTCATGATCTCACAGTTTGTGGGTTCGAGCCTGGTGTCGGGCTCTGTGCTGACTGCTAGCTCAGAGCCTGGAGCCTGTTTCAGATTCTGTGTCTCCCTCTCTCTCTGATCCTCCCTGCTCACGCTGCCTCTCTCTCTCAGAAATAAATAAGACATTTAAAAAAATTCTTTAAAAAATATTATTCATTTTTGAGAGAGAGACAGAGACATAGTGTGATTGGGGAAGGGGCAGAGCGAGAGGGAGACACAGAACCCGAAGCAGCTCCAGGCTCTGAGCTGTCAGCACAGAACCCAACACGGGCCTCAAACTCACGAACCATAAGATCATGACCTGAGCCAAACTGGGATGCTTAACAAACTGAACCACCCAGGTGCCCCTATATTTGAAATTTTCTAAGAGGGTAGATCTTAATTGTTCTCAGAAAGGAAGGGAGGAAGGAAGGAAGAAAGAGAGGGAGAAAGGAAAGACCAAACTAGTAATAATAAGTGATGCATAAGTTAATTAGCCTGACTGTGGCACTTAACTTCACAGTGTATATCAAAACATCCAGTTGTGCACCTTAAATGTATACAATTTTTATTTGTTGATTATAATACAGCAGGAAAGCGAAAAAATAAAATATACGCATAAGAAGAAGTACCACACACTACGTACCACCTATCACGTGCGAGGCCCTGACCCATCCAGTCCTCACAACAGCCCCGTGAGGTGGCTCCTGATAGTCTCCACCTTGTAAATGAGTAATCTAAGACACAGAAAGTTTAAGTGACCTCCCGCTAGCGATGGCAGAGCTGGTCCCTGAACCCAGGCATTCTGGCTCCAGTGTCCACGCCCTTAGTTACTCTATTGAAAACACTGAACCACAGGGGTGACTGGGCAGCTCAGTCGGTTAAGCATCTGACGACGACTCAGGTCATGATCTCATGGTTCAGGTTTGTGGGTTCAGGCCCACAAGGGGCTCTGTGCTGACACCTCAGAGCCTGGAGCCTGCTTCAGATTGTGTGTGTGTGTGTGTGTGTGTGTGTGTGTGTGTGTGTGTGTCTGCCCCTCACCTGCTCATGCTCCGTCACTCTGTCTCTCTCAAAAAGTGAATAAACATTTAGGGGCGCCTGGGTGGCTTAGTCGGTTAAGCGTCCGACTTTCGCTTAGGTCATGATCTCGCGGTTCGTGGGTTCGAGCCCCGCGACGGGCTCTGTGCTGACTGCCAGCTCAGAGCCTGGAGGTAGTTTCAGAGTCTGTGTCTCCCTCTCTCTCTGACCCTCCCCTGCTCGCGCTGTCTCTCTCTCTGTCCTAGAAATAAATAAAAATATTTTTTAAAAAAAGTGAATAAACATTTAAAAATTTTTTTTGAAATAAAAATAAAATAATAAAATAAAACACTGAACCAAAGGGGCGCCTGAGTGGCTCAGTCAGTTAAGCGTCTGACTTCAGCTCAGGTCTTGATTCCACAGTCTGTGAGTTCAAGCCCTGCATCGGGCTCTGTGCTGACAGCTCAGAGCCTTGAACCTGCTTGGGATTTTGTGTCTCCCTCTCTCTCTGCCCCTCCCCTGCTCATGCTCTGTCTCTGTTTCTCTCAAAAATAAACAAACATTAAAACACTGAACCACAGAACTGAGTGAGATTATCTAGGAGGTGGGATAGAGGTTCTCCTTCCCTGCCCACTTGCTTTGAAAAATGTGATTCGTATCTTATACCAAATATTGATGCTCATTAGCTCTATTTCCAAACTCTCCATTTTGTTTCATGGGTTGACACTTTTTTTTTTTGGATCTGTGCCATACTGAACACTACACACACACACATGCACACACATGCACACACTCAGTAATAACAAGGAAGAGAGTACTCATGCGTACAATCACATGCGCGACTCTCACAGGCATTGTTCTAAGTGAAAGGAGCCAGCCTCCAAAGGGTGCAGACCATGATCTTCTGAAAAAGACGCAGCTACAGTGATGGAGAAGAGAGCAGGGAGACGGGGGGTGTACGGGGGAGGAGGCACCCATAAAGGGATAAGGGCAGGGAGATGGGGGGGTGATGGAAGAGTTCCATGTCCTGATCATGGTGGTGCTTTCACAAACCTATACACGTGTTAAAATCCAAATAACTGCACATCAAGAAAATCAGTTTTGCTGCAAGGTCATTTAAAAAAAACAAGTATCCGGGCACCTGGCTAGCTCAGTCGGTGGAGCATGCGACTTCTGATCTTGGGGTTGTGAGCTGGAGCCCCATGCTGGGTGTACAGATTACTTGAAAATAAAATCTTTAATTAATAAACAAATAAGCAAATAAAATTAAAATGCCATTATCCTTCTTTAAAAAAACTAAGGCTTTAGAGAGACAGAAAGCCATTGTCCCAAGGTCCCACCGCTTCTATTTTTTTTAATTTTTTTTTTTTTTAGTGTTTTATTTATTTTTGAGAGAGAGAGAGAGACAGCGCGAGCAGGGGAGGGTCAGAGAGAGAGGGAGTCACAGAATCCGAAATAGGCTCCAGGCTCTGAGCTGGCTGTCAGCACAGAGCCTGATGCGGGGCTCGAACCCACGAACCGTGGGATCAGGACCTGAGCCAAAGTGAGATGAGTACCTGATGAGCCCCCCAGGCGCCCCCCGGTCCCACGGCTTCTAAATGGCAGAACAGGTACAGGACCCCGCCGGGACTGAGTTACAGTATCCCGGGTGTCCTCAGGGACTCACCTGCAGCCGCCACGCGCCCCCCCCCCCCCAACAAGACCCTCCGCTCTTCCCTCCCCCGCACCACCACCTGGCCGCGTCTTCCTTGTCCTGGGTGTGCTTTCCCTGCTTCCCTCCTGTCCAAGCCCCCCCCCCCCACTGTCTCCCAAAGCCCGTCGTCGCCCTAGCGCCTCCAGGCTGTGACGGCTCGTGTCCACGGCCTAACACACGGGGGGTGGGACACAGCCATGTCCCATTTTACACGTGAGGGAACGAGCTCGGAGACGTCAAGTCCGTCCACGGTGACACAGCTGGGAATCCGTGGGGCCAGGGGTCCGCTCGTGTGCTGGACGTGGATTCACTCCCGGGCACATGCGCTCCTCTTGTGCACAGAACGCGTCCTCACCGCCACAGCCTACATCCTCAGCATCTTTCCTTTTTTCCTTTTTGCTCTGCCTCTAGAATGCGGAATGCCCATACAAGCGGCAGGCCTGGACCCGAGACTCAAGGTTTCTGGGCTTGCAAGCCCATGAGCCCGATTGCTGCAGAGTCAGGAAATCGGGGGCGGGGGGTGTCTGGCAAACGGCGACCCGCGCAGCCTCACCTCTGGCTGGGACACTGCCCACATGAAGAGGAGAGTTGGGGAAACGCCAAGGTCCACAGCGCTATCGGTTGGAATCACGAGACCTCAGGTGTGTGCCAAACTCAAGTCCCCCGGGGCCCGGCCGTCGGAGCCCGAACGAGTCCCCACGTGAGCCACAGACTTGTGCAGTTTTTCACGGCCTCACAAGGAGGCAGTGTCATCCCTTGAATGACAGTTTAATAAACTACAACAGCTCACGATTCCCGTGAACCTAACCATACGCCAGGTGGAATGCTAGACACCGTACATACATCTAAACACTACACGGGAACACTATTATCCATCCATTTCACAGCTGGGAAGCTAAGGTACACAGAGATTAAGCAATTTACCCAAAGTCACAGTCACTGAGTGACCAAGCTGGGACTGAACCCAAATGACCCGAGTCCACACTTTGCACACGTGGCTGCTTAGCAGGACTTCAAACCGCTGGTCCGCTTTGCCTGGAGAGGAGGAGAGGCGCCCCAGCAGCAAGGAATCCACACCTCGTAACACAGTCCTGTTCACCTCCTATAACCTCCAGACCTGACACTGACTGGCAGATAATAAGGAGGAATGTATTTTCTTGTTCTCAGCAGCACTGATTTTCGCGTGATAGTTTAGAGCTGAAATTCACAGGCTCTATCTTGTCCATTTCCCTTAGCAAGAGGATGAGGGCAATGGTGGCTAGGTCAAAAAATGGATTCAACAGTACAAGGTTTCTAGAATCACAGCACTAAAGAAAAAATGAAATTATTAACTAGAAGTTAATGATGAAGAAATAATATTCTTTCTGCTTACTGTACAAATTCAGTCTCCCCCTAACAAGAAAACAACTTATATTTTAAAAAAAATTCTTGGGGTGCCTGGGTGGATTAGTCAGTTAAGTGTCTGACTCTTAATTTCAGCTCAGGTCATGACCTCACAGTTTGTGAGTTTGAGCCCCAAGTCGAGCTCTGGGCTCTCTGTTTGGGATTCTCTCTCTGCCTCTTCCACTGCCCCTCCCCCCTCAAAAATAAATAAACTTAAAAAAATTGTTGAGGCACCTGGGTAGCTCAGTTGGTAGAGCATGTGACTCTTGATCTCGGGATCATGAGTTCAGGCCCCACACTGGGCATAAAGCTCAATTTAAAAACATTTTTTTTAAATAAAATAAAACAAAGAGTGCCTTGGTGACTCTTTTGGTTGAGTATCCAACTCTTGATATCAGTTCAGGTCATGATCCCCGGGTTGTGAAATTAAGCCCTGTGTCAGACTCTGCACTGAGCATGGAGCCTGCTTGGGATTCTCTCTCTCTCTCTCTCTCTCTCTCTCTCTCACTTCCCCTCCTCTCTCTCAAAATAAATAAATTTTAAAAATATAAAAATAAAATTAAGTTAAAAAACAAACAATTCTTGACCTCAGCAGAAAAAGTGGGGAGAAAAAGCTGTTAAGGTATCAAATAAAATAAAACGAAATACAGAAATACAAAGAAAAAGTCACATTTTAGTGGAGGAAATAAATCTACTTCTTAACGAATTAACAACTTAGAGAAAATAAGTGAATGATTTGCCTGACCCACACACGTAATTCACACTCAAGTTCTATGATATAAATTTAGAGAAAGTGGACAACGGGAAATAAACATGGGAGAATTAGCATCTCACAGTAACCAGGAGTGTGCAAACTTTGAAGTCCGACAGGCGAGCATGCTCCATTATTCATCAGCCATGTGTCTTTGAGCACATTCTTTTTTATTTTTTGTAAAGGTTATTTAATTATTTTGAGAGAGACAGCGTGAGCAGGGGAGAGGCAGAGAGAGAGAGAGGATCCCAAGCAGGCTGTACACCGTCAGCACAGAGCCTGATACGGGGCTCGAACTCACAAAACTGTGAGATCACGACCTGAGCCAAAACCAAGAGTTAGACCTTTAACTGACTGAGCCAGCCAGGTGCCCCTCTTCAAGAACATTCTTAAACTCTCTATGCCACTTTCCACATCCGTAAAATGAGGAAAAGAATAGTGGTCACCTTGCAGGGTCAAGGAGGATTGAACGAGATACCACGTAACAGACTCAGCACAGCACCTGGCATCTAGTGAGTGTGCACTGAATGTCCGCTATCATTAAACCTGGGGCAACTGGTGTTATGTTACTTTATAACATTTGAGAGAAACTGAGCTCCTCTATCTTTTCACAAATTGTTTAAAACACAGTTTCATTAACTTCACTGATACTCTACCTCTAATGTGTGATGATTCTCCCCTGTGGTTTTAAAGCCCTTTCTCTACATTTATGAATAACTGTAAACACAACTTCCCATACATTCTTCTTCGTACTTATGCGCATAAAGTTAAACAGAGACAACACGGGGTGCCTGGGTGGCTTAGTCGGTTAAGCGTCCGACTTTCGCTTGGGTCATGATCTCGCGGTTCGTGGGTTCAAGCCCCGCGTCGGGCTCTGTGCTGACTGCCAGCTCAGAGCCTGGAGCCTATTTCAGAGTCTGTATCTCCCTCTCTCTCTGACCCTCCCCTGCTCACACTGTCTCTCTCTCTCTCCTAGAAATAAATAAAAATATAAAAAAATAATAATAATAAATAAATAAACAGAGACAACACTTGGGAAAATATAAGAACGTGTGTTTCTCTGCGTCTCAACACTCAGCTGGATACCAGCCCAGTGTTTGTGGATGGCTTTTATTTAATAGAAAACTCAGGCAAACCGAAGTTAACGTAAAGAGTATCCCTCACGTGATTCTCACCAGTTTTATCCTTTCAACTCCTGAAGGGAAATACGCCAATAACTCAATATAATAAAGGCAAGCGTTGTCATGAGTACGATGGATATAAGTGATATACAAAGAGTATCTCTGAGGGGAAAAAAATGGTGTCAGTGATATTCACCAAACCCTCAAAGATTATGGAGAGTTAGAGTTATGGGCATTAGCAATTCTGATGAAGACAACTTTTGATGAATGTTTGCTGTTTGAAGTATTAGAGCTAGAAGTTCTGGATCATAAACATCACAGAAACAAGGGTCCCGTGTTCTGTATATTCTACGCAGTATTCTCAGAAAAATGGGAGGCAATAACATTTTATTAAATTATAATAACAGAGATTCGTGGAGGAGTGACAGAAAGACTGAGTATTAAAGATGCTTTTTATCACCCATAAAGATGCGGCCCTCACAACAGAGGCCATCCAAGAAACCAGAATGTTGAGAAAGCTGTCCCAGCTGCTGCAGAGTTAGAAACTATCACAGGTACCATCAGAATGAATATTTTGAATTTGGGTTCAGGTCATGCCCCCCAAACAGACTGTCATCTGAATAACTACTGTGTCTTTTAAGATCCTTCAGTAATGTCACTGTGAACCTCTGTCTCTTTCCCTTTCCTGTAAGTGGAGACTGTGATATCTGCCTTGGCTGATGCAAGAGCTCTGAGGAAAATAACTATCTTATGAAGAACCAAAAGCTCAAAATAAAAACTCTATTTTGCTTTCATTATTACTCTGAAAGCAATGGTTACAATTCAATAAACTGGTCTAGGGGTGTTTGGGTGGTTCAGTTGGTCAAGTGTCTGACTTCAGCTCAGGTCATGATCTCGCGGTTCATGAGTTCAAGCCCCCCATCAGGTTCTGTGCTGACAGCTCCAAGTCTAGAGCCTGCTTCCGATTCTGTATCTCCCTCTCTCTCTCTGCCCCTCCCCTGCTTGCACTCTGTCTCTTTCTCTCTCTCAAAAATAAATAAAACATTTAATAAATAAATAAATAAACTGGTATCAAATCTTTCAGTTAGTCTGCATTCAGAGAATGTAGAAAAGCGTCCTTATAAGTATGTGACAGTGTGACTATGGCAATGATTTAGCCTGGCTAGGTAAGACCCCCACCCCTGAGATCAGTAGTGGGAATCAGTGTAAGTTGGTATTTTGAATGGGGCTTCTGAACAGGGCTGCTAAACACAACAAGGGAAATAAGCCAGATGGAAGTGACCTGCCCAAGTCCAAGTCCAAGATGGAAGTGACCAACCCCCATCGGAAACAAAATGTCCAGGTCCCAAGAATCTCTCCCAACAGAAGTCCAGCTGGGCACGAATCACTTACTGGAAAACCTGCAAATGTCTTCATGAGCACCTCCCTGTACATCCCAGGGAGAGAAGGGGTCAGCTTGGGCTCAGGGAAGAGAAAATCTCGTGTGTTTTCTTCATAGCAGGCCAACTCTTCCCACGCTAGAATGAAAGGAGAAAAGCCATAGTAGATTTACATCCTGAAAATGATCTACGTCCTTGAGTTTAACAAAATGAAAGCTCAGACAGGCGATGGCAGACATAAAAACTCAGATAAGAACTCAGATAAAAACAGACATTGTGGGGGCCCCTGGGTGGCTCAAGTCAGTTAAGCGTCCGACTTTAGCTCAGGTCATGATCTCGCGGTTTGTGAGTTCAACACCCTGTCGGGCTGTGTGCTGACAGCTCAGAGCCTGGAGTCTGCTTCAGATTCTGTGTCTCCCTCTCTCTCTGCCCCTCTCCCACTCAAACTCTGTCTCTCTCAAAAATAACAAATAAACATTAAAAAAAATAAGCATTTTGATCAAAGCACCTCTTATTTAAGAGGTGGACTAGAACAGACTTCTACTAGTTCTTATGTCATGGATAAATTTCAAAACCCTCCCAAACTCATAAAAGAGAGGGAGAAAAATATCTACAGGATCACTCCATGTAACAGAACATAGAGAAAAGTCTCTTTTCATCCATCTGTCTGTCCCTCTATCCATGCATCCAGCCACCCTTTCCTTCTACAATGTTTTCTAAGGAGCACTTTGGGCCACGTCCTAGGGACAGAAAAGGAGCCAAGCAGGCAGCGCCCTGCTCAACAGAGCTCACGGCGTAGACTAGGGCTCAGCATGTCCTCTGATGCAGATGTATCCTGATGGCCCACAGCACAGCCAAAGCTGTGGCCCTTACTTAGCACGGCTGGTAGCAGCCTCGGGGACTCTTCCAAAATTTGTGGGGACATTTCATGGGCCGGAGTCCAAGGGGCCAGGGTCAAGGCACTGCAGCGCTCCAGACTCTTGTAAACAACATTCTAATGTCGTAACAGACAATCTTCTAGGCGAGAAGCCGTTTTATAATTAGCGGAGCCTGGAACTTCACTGCTACATGTCAACGGAAAGCACTTTCTTTGCACGATTTTAAAATACACTGAATTTTCAGGAATGCAGGTACCATGTGAATTAAGGGACAACTGTACTTGGCTGTGTTTGGGTCTTTACTGAGCCCCTGCTGGCATTTTGAAAATCATGCCACATCTAAATACTTCCTTATGCCCAGCGTTTATGTATTGATACACATTCCGTTTTATTTGCAACCATTTTCCTTTAATTTCTCCCTGCGTGCAGGGATTTGTTTAAGTTGGTTATATTAAGCACAGTTTTATTTCCGTATGGCGAAAGGGATGCTACCAAACACTCACTACCAAAAGAAGATCTTGGGGCTAAGACAACCGAGAATCACTGAGCGAAGGATGGAGAAGCCACCCTCTGAACACTCCTTGTCTACACAGCAGGTACAACACAAGAGGTTCAGACTAAGTAAGAGTGGCCCCTGTACGGAGTACTGCCAAAAAAGAAGCTACAGTCAACGAGGTAGCTTTACTGTTTGGAGACTGCCATTCTGTTTGTGAGAAGTCTGATGAGGGTGGATTTCTGCCACATCAATGGTAGAAAACACCTGATGTTATCGAGTAGGATGGATTAATTTCTTCCTACCTATTCTTTAATATGAATGTTTGGGGGGCGTCTAGGTGGCTCAGTTGGTTAAGTGTCTGACCTCAGCTCAGGTCATGAACTCGCAGTCTGTGAGATTGAGCCCCGCATCAGACTCTGTGCTGACAGCTCAGAGCCTGGAGCCTGCTTCAGATTCTCTGTCTCCTTCCCCCTCTGCCCCTCCCCTGCTCATGATCTGTCTCTCTCTCTCTCTCTCTCTCTCTCTCTCTCTCTCTCTCTCTCTCTCTCTCAAAAATAAATAAAACCTAGGGGCGCCTGGGTGGCTCAATCGGTTAAGCATACAACTTTGACTCAGGTCGTGATCTTACTGTTCAGGAGTTTGAGCCTCGCATCGGGCTCTGTGCTGACAGCTCAGAGCCTGGAGCCTCCTTTGGATTCTGTTTCCCTCTCTCTCTGCTCCACCCCTGCTTGCACTCTGTCTCTCAAAAATGAATAACCATTTAAAAAAATAAAAAATAAAATAAATGAATAAATAAAACCTTTTTTAAAAACTAATGCTAACTAAATAAATATGAATGTTCAGGTTCTACATAAGGATCCACGTGCAGAAAGAACACGTCCGACGGCTTTCATCGTAAGATCATGTTTCCTCGCCCTTCCCCTCTCGGACGTGCTCCGGCCACAACGGATTGATGGTGTCTCTCCCCCTCCTCTGCCACGTCCTTCCTCCGCCTGGGCTGTTCCTTCCAAAATATCCTTTCTTCCTTCCCATCCGGTTGAGGTCCCCTTCATCGTTCAAGCTCGGCTTTCAATGTCTCCTCATGTCTCCAAGGTATCCGGTCCAAAACAGAACCTTGATTTTCCCCCCACAAATAAGCTCTCCCTGAGTTTCCCTTCCGAGGAGCCGGGACCACGTGCTTGAGCCACACATCCAGGCTTTTCCCTCGATTCCACTCCTTCGCTGCTCACGTTAACCCATTAGCCAGTCCCGTCGGCTCCATCCCCGAAGCAAAGCGGCAGTCTGTCTCCCTTCTCCATCCTTCCAGCCACTACCTGGTCCCAGCCGCGCGGCCTCCGTCCCGGCCACAGCCACGGCCCCCAAGCTGGTCTCTCTGCTTCCGTTCCTGCCACACTCACCCCTGTCCTCCACGCGGCGCGATGTTAGGAACACATCAGACGGCGCCTTTCCCCCCCTGCACACCGTCCAGCGGGCTTCTCATCACACTAGGACGCAGCCTAAGCATCTTACTCTGGCCTTCAAGGCTCCTCGGTCATCCCACGTCCCCCACCGCCCTTCCCGCTGCCCCTCAAACACACCAAGCTCGCCTCTACCTTAAACGTTCGCCCCTATAATGTTCCTTCCCCGGGTCTCCGCGTGGCCGGCCCCCTCCTATCTAATCATGGGCCTCGGCTGAAATTCCGTCTGTTAGAAAGGCAGTATTGCCCTTGGGACCTGCAGCCCATTAGGTACCACCAAGCAGGCTTCATTCGGGCACGTGTTTCTGATCTGTTTCCATCAACGCGCCATGGAGGCAGTGCCTGTCTGCCGTGTTCCTCTCTCTATCCCTGGCAGGGCTGTGCCCAGACAGGGGTGAATGCGGGGCAGTTGGCGGGAGCGGGCCCAGCCTCACCTGGAGAGGGGCCATCGGTCAGCGTCTCCCATAGGTCCCTTGGGATGCCATTAAAGAGAGACATTTTAAAACTGTGTTTCGGTGGCAGTCAGAACAGAGTGGTAAAGTGCGGCCTCCCGGGACTGCCCCCAAGTGCGTGCCTGGTCACAGCGGACACTTGCTAAGTGCTTCCTGAGGGGATGCTCGTGAAGACCGACATGGGGTGATGTAAGGCCCTGCTTATTATAGTAGCTGCTCAGTTAGCAGTAATCACCCTCTCTGAGACTCCGTTTCCACCACCATGAGAAAAGGGTGGAAAATTCTCTGAGGGGCGCATGGGGGGGGTTGGGTAAGCAGCCAACTCTTGATCTCAGCTCAGGTCTTGATCCTGATCAGGGTCTTGATCTCAGGGTTGTGAGTTCAAGCCCCGTGGTGGATTCCACACTGGGCATGAAGCCTGCTTAAAAAAACATTTTCTTCCCAATTTTCACTGTTCATTCATTTCTGAATCGTATCTTTTCAATTGTTTCAATTTCTTTTCATTCATACGTTGAAGAAATACGCGTAGAGAATGTACCGTGTGCCAGGAGTCCCAGACCCTGCATGTACACTAGCGAACAAAATGGGTCCTATTCCTGTCCTCCTGGGGTTTACAGTCTACAAGTGTTAAACAATTGTACAAACAAGTGTACAAGGTACATTGACGATGGAGAGAAAGGATGGGAGGCAGCGCAAGGCGGGCACAATCCCAAGATCCATCTTAGGATCAATCATTTACCAGTCTCATCCTGGCCACCTGTTTTAAGCAGTGCTCCTTTGACAGTGCTCCCAGTGAGGGGCATGACTTCCCCACCTCTGCCGGCGAAACAGACGTCCTTCAGTCTGAGGTCTCACAAGTGCCACCTGAAAATGGGAAGTGATGTGACAGTCTCCTCATCCACCACTAGCAGCGAAACCCAGCTTTCTACTGAGGGCCACGGTGCGGTGGGTAAGATCCGTGTCCGGCAGCCACAGCTGCTCCAAACCCCGGCCTCCCCGTTTACCAGCTGTGGGACGAGGAGCACAGGCCGTAACCCCCTACCTCCAGGCTCCTCAGAGCACACGGACATCACCTGCTATTATCATGACTACCCCGTGACAGCCACCCAGTAGAGACCCCAGTGCCATCCTGGTCTCTGGACGTCACGTGTTTTCCGCCACGTGCTCCTGCTGGGAACACCTGCGTGCGTGGCTGGTACGATGCCTTACACACTGGCTGTTCTTTTCTCCTTTCATCGGCGTTTGGCTAGCTCTTGTCACCGCATCCAAAATGACAGCTGCCACGTCACCACTTGCACTCAGCAAGAATGAAGATAAAAGTAAGAGGCCAGAGGACTGGAGGCATGCTCATCTACTGCCTTTGGAATCACAGGAATGAAGAAATTGGAGAAGAGATAGAAAGCTGATGTGCCTCAGTTCTCTCCCTGGTTTGATCATATTCTAGAGTCCTAACTGCCACGCAGTGTAAAATTGTCGGCACACCCACGGGATGTGCAAGCAAGAGCCGAGGTTATACACAGGCTGAGCGATACTCATAGGCCACATGATATGTCTGAAGGAAATCCGTGTTCTGATAGGCTAATGGCACTGACAAGGACATCATCAATGGCGTCAATGAAAAACCTCTCCCCTAAAAAGGAAAAAGAGGACTTCAAGGAAAAAAAAATTCTTTTGAGAGAAAGCAAGAGCAGGGGAGAAGGGCAGAGGGGGAGAGAGAGAATCTCAGGCAGGCTCCACGCCCAGTGCAGAACCTGACATGGGGCTCAATCCCATGACCCTAGGATCTTGGCTTGAGCTGAAATCAAGAGTTGGACGCTCAACCAACTGAACCACCCAGGTGCCCCCAAAATTAATC